AACCGAGCATTAGCACTAAGTAGCATAAGAAAAGACCTAAATTATGAAATAAAACGGATAGAAGAGGCGTTGGTGTTAAATAACTATCCTATAAAATTCATTAGGAAGTTCAGTAAACACCAAAAACAAAATAAAAATAATTGTGAAACTAGTTATAATAACATAAATAAGAGAGAATATAAGGCACAAACTGTTATACCATATAACGAGAGGACATCTGAGACCCTACGTAGGATTACTCAATAAAGCAGGAATTAGGCTGGTGGTGGCATTCAAACCTACAAACTCACTCAGGTAAGACAAGCTCTGTAGGCTAAAGGACCCTGTTAGTGGACCCATTTAAACAAAATAATATAATTTACAAAATACCCTGCAATGACTGTGAGTTAGGTCAACTACATAGGTCAAACTAGTAGGTCGCGTGTAGTCATATTGTCGGAATATAAGAATTTAGCTAAGGTAAGAATGATTGACCCCGAGAAAAACGCTCAGCAATTGCAATCCATACATCAACACACAACCACACAATAGGGTGGGAGAGGATTAAAATTCTAAAAAGTAATCTAGGTAGATGGAGATAGACAGAGGTTGATTACTGAATCCTGACTGGTTCATTGAGTCTACACCAAACACATGCAATAGGAATGATTCATCACTCATACCCGAAATATGGAGAATACTACTACCAATCAAATCAAGTGAAAAATAATAGAACTATATAAATGAAGTTAGGAAGTCGTGTGAGTAGTGTCTTGATATGATTATGAGCAGTAATAAATTGTACTCGAAATGGTGTCATCACTAAACATCACTGTATAACACCACCGTGAGACTTTATCAAAACAAATTTTACCCATAATGGAATTACAAATAGTAGATAAGACTAAATCTGTACACAAAATGGAGTTACTCGACTCTACACAGTGAACTGAAAAGTGTAAAGACAACAGCATCAACTACTAGCAGTCGTCAGCCATCTTCAAAATGTAAGACAAGATTGAAATCACACACATGACTGATCAGCTGATTGACTGATTGATATACACTAGCGCGTATGCACTAACACGATCACAAGTTAATGCAAAGCAAGAATTCTCGCATAAAAAGCACACACACATAGATGACATGACCAAAATTTGTCTAGATCATACTAAGAACTATGATGTTATAAGTCACATATTGAAAAAAGAAAAGAGAAAAAAAACAAGGTCACTCCATATTCTTTGGATAGTAAGAGGAAATGTATAAATAAATAAATTACGTTTTTACGCTAATATATGTGTAAAACTTGGGGACTGTGATAGTATGGAATTCCATATTAGTTTGTTTATTAGATGTATCACACACAGTGAGTGAAACAGTATTACTGTTTAACTGGATGACGCAGTTTCGAACACAATTCATTATTGCTGTTCATAATCATGTCATCGATTGTAAACACACGACTTCGAAACTTGAGCTCTATAGTTTTCTTTGTCCTCTCCTATTTGTTGTCGTTGGGGTAGTAGAATTTTCCAGATATCTGGGTGGACAGGTGTTCAATCATTCCTATTACATGTATTTGCAGTTGATTTGATAAACAAAGCTTCTTTTATCAATCTCCATTCCACCCTGCTGTGACATTAGATTTTAAAACTGGCATCTTATCCCGTTCATCCTATTGTATGGTTGTGTGTGCTATAGCTGAACTATTCTCTAGATTTCTTATTTTATTCGGGTCAACTAATCTAGATTTTGCTAGGTTTTTATGCTCGGCTAGTCTGACTGACTGACCTGTTCTACTAGTTTGACCTATGTATTTGACCTGACAATCATTCCAGGCAGGTATTAGATAAACTAAATTATTTTGTTTAATTGGCTTCACAGGATTTATACTTTAACCAACAAAGCTTGTTTCTAATTGAGTTTGTGGGGTTTTAAATCCCAGCCACTTTTATTCCTACCTTCTTAAGAATTCTGCGTAATATTACCGAGGTTCCTTCTTTGTATGGAATTACTACTGATGATTAGATTCCTTATTGTTGGTGTCGTCATTAATAGTATTATTGTTATTAGTATTATTATCTCTTTCTCCACCCTGCTGTTACATTAGACTTCACAACTGCCATCTCATTACACGCAACCATACAATAGGATGGATGGGATAAGATGACAGTTTCAAAATCTAAGGTAGCAGCAGACTGGAGGGAGGGAGAGATTGATAACAGAAGCTTTGTTTATCGAATCAACTTCAAATACATGTAATAAGAATGATCCAACACCTGTCCACCCAGATATCTGGAAAATCCTACTACCCCAACGTAGACAAATAGGAGAGAATAAAGAAAACCATAAAACTCAAATTTCAAAGTCGTGTGATTACAATTGATGGAATGATTATGAACAGCAATAATGAATTGTGTTCGAAACGTCATCCAGTAATTCATACTGTTTCACTGTGTGATATAATCTAATAAACAAACTAATGTGGAATTACGTTTTTACACTAAATTTACACACTGAAACTAAGATCGAAATCGTTCACAAAGGATCTTAGTACATCAGATCAAATAGCCGTAATTCATAATTACGCATAAATAAGAGAATGTAGTGGACAAACATGCATGTGATGAACGAGTACAACAAGACCAGTGGAGATGTTTTGAACCACTGCTGAAGATCTTAAACCACATATGCAACCACTGATTCTGAGCATCCTAAGGAGCTCAATCTAAACAGTCTGACTACGGGATGAAATTGCCTTCAGGCCTAGTGAAAAAAGCGCGACTAGTGGGGTTCACCAGATCAGGTGTGATGACAAATACTCGTCGATGATACAGGCTGGCTAGAGTCGCGAATCGAACCATTGGATTCCACCGCCCCACCCCAGTGGTTGAATGGTCGATATGTTCGCGTAGTAATCTGAAGGCGATTAGGTTCAATCCACAGTGAGGAGGTCATGAGTGAGAACTGATGCAGAGTTTCAAACTAGGTCGAACCACATGTCCAGTACCCCGTGGTTTTCAATGGTTCCCTAATTAATTTCGATGTGTGGTCACAATTAGAAACAAGTCAAATCCCTACAAACTACCTCTTGAAACCCCTGTCTATATGTGCTCACGTAACTCAGACCAAGACAGGTTTCATAGACTGTCTTCATATTTTGGTTTGACCAACGCTCACTTTTAGAGGAAGGTGGTGGCTTGATTGTGTGTAATACGTATCCGAGTACAATTGGTGAACACCCACCTCCCGCGCACTTTGTTGACCCACTTATGTTCCTTCACCAAGATTTTACGTTTAATCGTAATATTACGTCTTATAAGTGTTTGAAAAAATTTATATTTATGGTCCACATAAATACCTCAGTTAGCATTTCATCAGATCTGAGAAAGATAAACAGAGACTGGATTAACACACAGACAGGATCTAGAATTACTATTCTATGGTTCAACTTGTTACATGTGATATCTGGATGTCATCTTGAAGGTGACGAAAAGTAAAATAGGAATGAGAATAACAGTTTCAAAGGGAATCAAGCTCAAGAGTAACTAGCTCCACAATTGGTTAGCGCAATCAAATTTTTTGATTGGACACTAGTAACTAGTGTGATGTATCTGGCTAGTCCTTTCTTTGGTGCAGATTGAATTCTATAAGTCGGGTTTTGCAATATGTGGCTACCATTCTAGGTAGCTCGCCATCATAATGCACATTGATGATATTAGAAGATGGTTGGAGGCAATCGGCCAAAGGAAGCCCTGTTTCACCTAGGTTTCGTGCTAGTTGACACTCATCAGCAAGGCGTCATCTAAAACCCTGAAGTAACTCATGTCCCTTCTGAGATTCGAACCCGAGTCACTCAGTGCCGCCTGCAGTCAGAGACGTTACCACTGAGCTATTCGGGCTCACGATTGACTTCCTGTAGGACTGTAGTGGGTAATTCAACTAGTAATGATTGGCAAGCAACACTGGATCATCAACTTTCCCACAATAATGAACAGCTTATTAACAGGTATGTTAATATACACACATAGTTGTTGAATAACGCTCTCTTTCATACGTTGAAATGAGTCACTCATATATTCTAAGCGACTTGTTGTAGGGTGCAGGAGGTCGGGTGTGAGGACAAATACTCGCCGAAGACATTGGTTAACAGTCGCGCTATGTCGCGAATTGGCAGAAGTTAGAATTTATGCATGGGCTGGCCATTGGATCAGTTCCCAGTGGCTTAATGGTCTACGAGCTCGCTGGCCTTGCAACCAGAAAGTCTTCGGTTCGAACCCCTGTGGTGGGTGCGTACTGATCAAGAGTCCCAAACTAGGACGAAACAGCTGTCCAGTACTCCCAGCAGGTTTTCCAATGGTTCTCTAACCAATGTCACCTCATGATGAAATCCTGTAACCAAACTTGTTGCCGTTGTTCTACAACATGACTGAGGGATACTGCATTGACTGGACCCCCCCCCTTGAAAGAACAGAACACTATAACTAACTGATAAATTGAAGTTATCTCCAACACGGAGATAAACACTGAAATGAGACTTTAAAAAAGCAACCACCGAGTCAACAACAACACAACGGTAACAAAATGGATGGTACTTTATAGTCCAGTGAACCTCAGAAAGTTAAGCCATAAATAAACAAATCATGTCAATAGATGCAAATATCATGACTTGACGGCCAGAGAAAAGCTTATCCATCCTAACATTCTAGGAAACTTGGTTATGACTAACACGTTTTTATAAGCCGTAATGACATACATTAGCCATCTAAACCTTTGTGGGGGTTAGGACAAGGCACTAAACTAAGACGGAGGTGTTGAACCCACGATCCAGGATTTGAGAATCAGAAGCTTAAACCAATGTGCTGTACCCCTGGATGGAACAAGTCTACAGCCAAATCCTAATCCTTAAAATCACAATGTATATACACACACACTAGCAAACCGCTAATTATTTAAATTTGAAAACTTGAAAACTATTAACCTATTCGAAAACAAAATAGTATAAGCTTACTACTTACCCCAAGAGTATCATCACCACAGATTTGAACCCGTTGAAATTCTACAGCTGCTGATTCCAAATGTGCTTCAGCGGCTACTTCAACCTCCTGGATAACAGGAGCTACATCAGCATACATACTTGAACCAGGCGTTAAATGCAATGGTAGACCATCACTAGCTGCCCCTGGAACACTATACAATCGTCGAACTAAAGAACCTCCGCCGCCACCAACACTACCACCACTAAATTGTTCATTCTGAAGCAGGAAACCGCCTTGAGCTAGTCTTGATTGTATACGATTACTAAACTCCAAAGATGATGTATTAGTGCCTGATGTAGATAAACTAGGCTGAGCATGACGTTCTTGTGGAAATTCTTCAGGCAGCTGAGTTAGACAATCGCATGAATAGTCTTCTTCATTCACTTTATCATTTTTGCCCAACACTATTCCACAAGTATGGTGGCTCTGTTTATTATTACTACTGACCGATTCTGCTGATCCATTTATCATATTCCCCATAGAATTGTAATTATCCAAACCAAAAGTTCTCGGTGCAACTACTATTGAATCACGATTTTCTTCACTAGTTGTCACTTTGTAATCACCATCCATATTACTAGCTGATCTGAGCATGATAATATACACAAAGTAGAAATAATAAAATTAAAACAAAATGTTTAGGAATTATTTATATACAGTGCGGAATAGATCAGACTTTCATAAGTGTATTTGTATTGGGCGTTTACACACACACACACACAATTGTAAGTTTGCTTGTTTTTTGGTAAGCACTTAGGGCAATATCACTACACCGGGTTACACCCGCTGTCTGGCTTTTTTCTTTTTAATTTAAAGTCATTGACAGCATGAATAAAAGACATGAAAAAACAACAAAAATTTGAAAAAATCCTACGGAACTTTCAACAAGCTTATGGTGAACATGTGAGTAGCAGTGTGCTCAAAATACTACCAAAATTAAAAGTTATGAGAGTGTATGTAAACAGTCATTATAAAAAATAAGCACACTCAAAGTCTGTCTGTTTTCGACATAGAACTTTCCACCGATGTACACCACTTCAAGTCGTCACACTCACTCCATGTAGCACACAAACCAAGAGAACAAAGTAGAAGAAATGCATAATAGAGACAGTAAACAGAAGTGTGAGACAAAAGGAATAGTAATAACGAAGAACAATATGGTTTCATTGGAAATCATAAGTCACAAGGAGTGGATGCATCTGCGCTAGCCATTAGGAACCATTTTCAGCCATATTACCAATTGTTTCCAACTATTGGTTTTACCATCCCGAGGACCCCAACAAGTCAGGAAGTCTACACCTTTCTACGTGGCTGGCTGGCTTAAACTAGCTGTTGTGGATTTCATTGACTGGTGAACCCATGTTTTGGTTTGACCACAACGTGCTGGCTGTTTTCCAGCCTGACCCTATGTCAACTAACACTTCCTGTCAGTCGAGAGAGGCGATGACTAGGTATGCATACATAACACATATCCTAACCATCTCAGTCGATGTAATTTCACAGCCTCATCGATTGATTTCCCCTCCTTACCAACTAGCACTCGACTGAGGCCTAACCTCAATATTGCTCACCTTATTATACCACTTCACACGGGAGATAGAACGCAGGCACCTATGTTCGAAGACAGATAATCTTTTCATGTCTTCCACTCTCAATGGCCAGGTCTCACAGCCAGCCATAAAGGAGGAAGGAGCGGACTGATGAGCAGTACACCCACCCTTTGGTCGATAGCCAATCGGATATCACGTCTACTAAGCCAGAGACGGCGTAAACTGATATATGCAAAACTAGCCCTCTGTATCCGTGCTGAGATTTCGTCAGAGATCAACCTGTTAGCGTTGGCTGATGGTACTTCTCAAATAAGTGAAGCGGTCAACGTGCTCTAACACTGCTGGGGAACAGGGGTGTGAAAGGAAGACAAGAGTAAAACAAGGCTGTTGCCTACTATCCCTGATGATATTCCCGATTAAGGTCGACTATCATACAGCAGACTGTGGGAGTGTAAGAAGACAGGAATATGCTGAACCAATAACAAAAGACTCTAGAGACCTGGACTTCAAGATGATTTGTGTCTGATATCAGAAAAACTTGTAAAAATCTGCAAGCGGAAATCAACCAGCTAGCTGAAGAAGCAGAGAAGGCAGCACTTCAAGGATGAACAAGAGGGTAGTACTTTTGGGTACTCTACTCGAACTCAGGCAGCCAGGCGGGTGAAAGCTTACGGAGAGTCATCTGACAGCTGTGATGACAACCAGTGATGTCCGTCAGGGATGCCCACTTTCCCCATTTCTGTTTAATTTCATCATAGATGCACTAATGAACTTAACTGAATTTAGCGATTAAGGGATTATTTTGTGACTACCGAGGAATAATCACGGTGACTAAGAGTATGCAGATGATGTAGTCCTCCCTCCTACGTGAAACGCTGACAAAGTATAGCAGAGTCTTCTGCACACCTTGAGAAGCAGCAATCTTCGAATGTTTGACACGCGATTCAGTCCCGACAAAAGTAAGATGGTGCTACAGGACTGGACTACATCGACTCTCTCCTAACTTAAAGATAGGGAGTGAAATGGTGGCTGGGCGTGTTGACCACTTCATTTATTCGGGAAGTTGCATCAGCCAACGCCAGCGGGTTGCTGACGAAATCTGAGTACGGATACATCTCTGGCTTAGTGGACGTGGTATTGAGACAGCTGTCGACCAAAGAGCGTGTGTAATGCTCAACAGTCCGCACTGTCCTCCTTTATGGCTGTAAGACGGCCGTTGAGAGTGGAAGATAATGAACACGCCAGTTGTTTTTGACCACATGTTTGCATTCTATCCTCTCTGTTAAGTGGTATAATATGGTTATTAATATTAAAGTTAGGCGGCGAGTGCTAGGTAAGGAAGGGAAATCAATAGACGAGGATGTGAAAATGCACCAATTGAGACGGTTAGAATGTGTTATGCATGCACATCAAGCCATCGCCTTCCTCGACGACGGGTAATGTTAGCTGACATAGGGTCGATGTGGTTGGCGAAGAGCTACTGGTGGTCAAACAAAAACATGGCTTCATCAGTCAATGAAATCCACAACAGTTAGTTTAAGCCATGTAGGGAGATGTTGACTTCCTGGTTTGAGTTATTGGGATGGTAAGAACCAATGGAAGCTGCAAATAACTAGTGATACAGCTCAAAGTCGTTCTCAGTGATGGCGCAAATGCATTCACTCATTGTGATTTGTCACAGCCAATAAAACCCTATTTGTCCTCCATATTATTACTCTTTTTCCATCACATTTATGTCGATTACCCTTCTTTTTAATCTCTCTTCACTCTCTTCTCCTGCTTTGTGTGCTACTTGGATTGTGGAGTTTGAAACTACTGACACCTGTGCAAAGTCCTATGTTGAAACCAGTGAGTCAGAGTTTGAAAGTTTTATTCAAAGGCTAAAATTAGGCTGAGAAATCTTTCCTGTTTTGAAAGAGAGAAAATACCTAATGAACCGTGATTAGTGAAAGATCGGCCAAAAAGCAATAAACATATGAGAAGAGTTACAGGCCGGAAATCGTGGACTTATTTCCACTAGTTAGACTTAATCGTCACCCAATATGAGGACAAAAATTATAAGGATGTGTCAAATCACTCATAAGACCTGCAAACTTTCGGTGTATCTTAGATTAAACTTTAAGATGCAAACCTCCATGATGGAGTGTGTTCAAGTGAACAAGTTCAAAATTAGTAAAACAGCAAGGGTATGAATATTGGATATGAATATCAGATATGAATATTGGAGTTTGATTCAAAAGACGAAACTCCAGCAGCACTTTAAAAAGCAAACGTTTATACGAGGTGAAGTATTTACTCGCCATACACCGCAATACATATTAAAAGCACATAAAAAGGCTGCATATTTCTGAAGGAAGAATACTAAACATTGAAATTCACTAACCTGGCTAATTTAAATTCTAATATGTGCTCCTCCATTTCTTTTCTTTCGATTGGAAACTTAGGCATCACATATTCTGGACCCGTTTGTTTAAATAGCGGATAAGCTCCTTCACGACCTCTTTGCTTAATATTTTCAGTTAATTCATTGAGTTTGTGATCCATGTTTGAATGACTAACTAATAAACTTTAACGCCAAAATGAAGTATAAAATGAAAGCACATTAATAAACAAAAGCAAGATATTTCATCAGCTTCAAGTCACTAGAGAGTAGACATGTCTAACTCGCGTTTACCTAATAATAATGTGATAAAATAATCAAACTTCTAGTGCATGGCAAAAATGAATTAGCTAGTAAAAACTATTCTGCAGTGCAGCATATAAAAATAATCATCATTAGCCAGCAATTCAGGAGCTGGAACTCTTCTATCAGCCTAAGGAAATTGGGTATACCCAGTTCTACCCTAAGACTTACCGACGTAACCCCGTCTCATACTTCTGCTCAATTTACTTTTAATGGTAATTCTCTTGTCATCACTTCAAGTATAGATTTGAAATATGTTAACAAATCTTGTGGGACCCATCAATATTTTGCAGAATCTCCCTAATTCATCCTTGATTAACTTCTCAGAACAAAGGCTATTAGTATACTAATGCAACTATATGCTACCCGACTGCAATAATTTTAACATAAAAATTATAACTTTGACAATCTGAAGTTCGAGATCACACAAAGGAGCTTCATATAGATTGAAATGCTTTGATGTTTGTCTCAGTCACAGTAAATGGTATGACTTCAACAACACGTTTCAACCTGTCATCATCCTTATCCACTTACGAACGTGTAAAATCAGTGGCTATGCATAAAACAACAGCACCTTCTCTTAAAATACATACAGAACGTACGGTTGAAATGTAAACAACCAAAAATACTTTTACACCCAACCTTGAACGGACGAACAAAATTCATGTGAAGAAACAAACTTAAGTGACACATTAAATTCATTACAAAACGTCAAACGGTGAGCTTGAAATTTCACCAGTTATTATATTATTTATATTATATTATCGTTATTTAAACATTTATGGGGTTTAAAGATAGATTATATCAGATGTTTGTGTTATGTTGTATTTATAGTTCATTGATTCATACTCATGTTTATTGGTTGGGTATAGAAGGCTTGGAACCTATGTTAATCTGTTTCTGGTAAATTTCTGTGCTTGTTCAAACTCTTCTTGAATGAACCAGTTGAGGTTGCAGACGGGTGTCGGTTCCAAGAGTTTATGACTCGATGTGAGAACCAGTACTCAGCAGCAATATGATTTCTTCTTGGCTTTTGAACCCTCCTGCTATGTCGTCTACGGTGTTCTGACCTTGTGCGGAGGAAAAGAGAGAAAAGGTCAGGTCCGTAGTCATTATTTAAAATTTTAAACACTGTAAGTGAATCTCCTCTCTGCCTACGGTATGACGGGGTGAAGGAATTTAAACTATCTAGTCTCTCCTCGTATGATAAGCTAGTCATGCCGAGAATTATACGTGTTATCTTCCTTTGGACTCTTTTTAAAATTTTTGAATCCTCTTGAAGACAAAGACTGGCTGCCTGGATACTGTTTTCCAGTCTTGACCTCACCGGAGATGTATATAAGGGGGTGAACATATCTCTGGTGATTCTAGTAAAACCTCTGATTATTGCCCGTAAGGATCTGAAACTACGTGCAGTCACCGCGCGGTAGTGTGCCGTATTTTTTAAATCGTCACTTGATATGACACCTAAATCCAAATGAGTCTGAACTGATGGGAGTGTTATTCCCAATATCTCGTAGGAGATGACGCTTGCTTGCCCGATGAGCATGGTTACACATTTCGCTACATTGATAGGGAGCATCCATTCTATGGACCCCTCTGACAATTCGCAATGTGGACGTGTCACTGCTGGCCTTCAGCCATCTAATTCTGATAAACAATATAAATTGGAGAGGTCCGAGTACCGTGCCTTGCCACTACGCACCGCTGTCCAAGAGGAGAGTTTCTAGTTGGTCCTACCCCTCTGCCTCCTATCTATGAGGAATTCCCTGAGCCAGTTTAGTAATCTGCCTTTGATACGAAGACTTTCCAATTTCACGAGGAGTCTTTCGTGGGGAACTTTATCGAAGTCTATGCTGAAGTCTATGAAGACGACGTCAGCGGTTCTACTGTTGTCAATGGAGTTGAAGATTGAACGATCAATTCTTGGTTGTTTGCTTAAAATCAACTTCCCCAATTTTCGCGGAGGCATCAATACGACAGTCATCGTCTCATCGGTCGCTGTTCAGAAAGAAGAGTGAAACATCGTCAGAAGTAATACAATGATTTATTATTGTAATATTTGTTTTCAGACCTTAGTTCGCTTATTCCTTTTATATGTTGGTGTAACAATAAACAAATCTCAAGCGGCCAATCGGTGTTTTGGTTTTTGCGTCCGTTATAACTAAGCGTTTCTGAAATCTTCGAAGAACAGCGTGGGCTCGAGCGTAGCGAGAGCTGGGCATTAACGGTTTATGAGACGTGATTGACAACTGTTTTCCCTTGATTCGACCCAGCTTTCTCTTCCAGTGAGGAGATTTGACAGGCATGAAAGCCATGCTGTGCTATGGATATCAAATTGTTGATTTCCAAATATCTCGTGCTGTCTTCACTGAATAGTACTCAAAATCAGATAGCTGGAGAAGATCAGCAACAAGGATCTCTTGGGGCAAACCAATACAGCAGGAACCAACTGCGCAACAAATATTCAGGAAGAGATGGAGCTGAATTGGTCATACCCTGAGAAAACAAACCACCCAATGACATCACATACCAGGCCATCGCTCGAATGGAACCCTAATGGGAAGTGACTAGCTTGTGGGCAGCGCGAGGATGACATGGAGGAGGTCATGTGAAGAGTAGATGAAAGCTTGTGGAGCCTGGTGCAAACGTTGACAGAGAACCGAACGCAGTCGAGACATGCGGCTGAAGTTTAGTGTTCCTCTAGGAGCTAAAGGAGACAATAATATTAAAGAAAATATTATGCAGGCCTCCAGCAACGATTAGTAGCGGCCACAAAAAGACGCGAGACATAACTTTCATTGATGTGTGCTGCTAAAGATCACTCAGATCAACCAGTTATTCAAAGTTCACCGATACAATTTGCTAATCGTAAACCAGAATTATGTACTACTACCCTACTTAAGTAGTCGACAGGAATTCTACTGGCCTAATATAGTTTGTCTTTTTTGATTGTGTGGTGAGGGCAGGCTGCTAGCCAATTGGTAGACATTAATTTGTGTCAATGTCTAGGTCGCTGATATTGGACGTGAGAAAATATGAACAAGACTGATTCAACAACCAATCACAACAGACTTAACGTGGGAAAATACGATTCGCAGATATATGGCTTAACTCTGTGAGAAACCAGTCACAAGCAGTACAAAATAACCTTGAGCAAGAAACAACCAATCAAAGACTGTGTTTGTCTGCTTGAATAAGCTATAAGGGTGTACACACATATACATGAAATATATATATTAATTTCCTTAATAAACGATCTGTCGCCTGGCCCTTGGACACTTGTAACTGGTGTCACACGTCTAGTCCTTTCTTTGGTGCAGAGTGAATCCTGTCAGTCAAGTTAGCATTGCGCCCGCCACTCTAGATAGCTCAACATCACGGTGCACATTGATTCGGCTTAATGAACTGAGTCTAGTTAGACGAATTAGAACGATTTACACGGGCTTCCAACATTTTAGCCACCTTCAGTTGGCCAGTGAGCATTCTTGGTTGATGTAAAATGGTTTCCGAGTGCATACGTGAATCAGTGGAACACACCATATTGCTGCCTCACCAAAAGTTTCATGTTGCTTGTCTATATTCTTGAATAGTGAGCGAATTGAAAGTATCAGATGTCATTTATTAATATTATGTGTTGGGTTTCGCAGCATAAATGAAAGTTTAGTAAACGTTTATAGTAATAATCTGATGTATAGCTGACTCTTTAATTTGCATTATATGGTTGGATGAACGTGACGCTTCCGTGAGGCTTCCGAGGTTCCTTCTTTGTATGGAATTACTACTGATGATTTAGATTCCTTATTGTTGGTGTCGTCATTAATGGTATTATCGTTATTAATATTATTATCTCTTTCTCCACCCTGCTGTTACATTAGACTTCACAACTGCCATCTCATTACACGCAACCATACAATAGGATGGATGGGATAAGATGACAGTTTCAAAATCTAAGGTAGCAGCAGACTGGAGGGAGGGAGAGATTGATAATAGAAGCTTTGTTTATCGAATCAACTTCAAATACATGTAATAAGAATGATCCAACACCTGTCCACCCAGATATCTGGAAAATCCTACTACCCCGACGAAGACAATATAGGAGAGAATAAAGAAAACCATAAAACTCAAATTTCAAAGTCGTGTGATTACAATTGATGGAATGATTATGAACAGCAATAATGAATTGTGTTCGAAACGTCATCCAGTAATTCATACTGTTTCACTGTGTGATATAATCTAATAAACAAACTAATGTGGAATTACGTTTTTACACTAAATTTACACACTGAAACTAAGATCGCTATCGTTCACAAAGGATCTTAGTACATCAGATCAAATAGCCGTAATTCATAATTACGCATAAATAAGAGAATGTAGTGGACAAACATGCACGTGATGAACGAGTACAACAAGACCAGTGGAGATGTTTTGAACCACTGCTGAAGATCTTAAGCCACATATGCAACCACTGATTCTGAGCATCCTAAGGAGCTCAATCTAAACAGCCTGACTACGGGATGAAATTGCCTTCAGGCCTAGTGAAAAGCGCGACTAGTGGGGTCCACCAGATCAGGTGTGATGACAAATACTCGTCGATGACACAGGCTGGCTGGAGTCGCGAATCGAACCATTGGATTCCACCGCTCCACCCCAGTGGTTGAATGGTCGATATGTTCGCGTAGTAATCTGAAGGCGATTAGGTTCAATCCACAGTGAGGGGGTCATGAGTGAGAACTGATGCAGAGTTTCAAACTAGGTCGAACCATATGTCCAGTACCCCGTGGTTTTCAATGGTTCCCTAATTAATGTCGATGTGTGGTCACAATTAGAAACAAGTCAAATCCCTACAAACTACCTCTTG